CGTCTAATGGCCAAGCTCGCTTCTCAAAGCGAGGCCGCACGCATTTATCTAATTGAGCAACCAACGGCTAGACTGGTTGAATTGCTCTTTCATGTGATAAGTAGCCAGGTCACATCTCGAATCAGGGCATGTACCTTCGGTGCATTGCGTTCTCTTCTTAGTCGGAAATCCCTTGCTCAGAATTATGGTATGTGGCAGTATTTAGAAGCGTGCCTCAGTGGAAGTTACCTTCCGCCTACAACAAACAAAGCTCTGGCCTCCGCCGCAGGCTCTCCGCAATCGTCTATGTTTATGGAGGCGCTTTTTCAGGAAATGAGCCCACATGTCGATGATGCTAGTGCATTCATACAATTTCTAGTCAGCTTGACGTCTCTCCCTAGCGGATTCGATCAATTAAACGACGCGCTGCCGTATCCAGAGGATCTCGGCGCGTCTACTCGGATGCGTCCTGGGATTGAGCCGTACGTCGACTTTACTTTGGGACACATGTTCTCCGTTAGGGCTCAAGAAGTTCTGGAAGTTGTACAGCAGAGAATTCTCCGGTTGTGTTGCTTAGACCTTGCATTCACCTGCGTTTCTAGCTTCAACGAGGACTTGATTATATTTAGTAACTACACCAATGTCAATGTGGATTCCGCTATCCAGAGCGGAAGCTTAGAGAACTATGTCACTCTTCACCCATTCGCTAGGGTCATGGAGTGGATGTACGACAGCAGGTTCATGAAAGGCATTCTCGATACGATACATCAAAACTCGAAAGACATCGAGAAAGCCCCGCAAGATTCGCCTCTAATTAATAGCGTTATACGCGCGGTCCAGCTCGTCTCAAAAGCTCTTGATCTTCAAGATACCTATTTTGACATCGTTCGGAAAATAGTAAAGCCACAGGCTCGAGCGCAAAGCCGATCACCATATACGCCGGTATCGAATGGGGCATATGCTTCGATAGAAGACGGCCTCATAAGCGACATGATGCTGATGTCCGACCTGGGTATTTATTGTGGTATAGGCCACCCTGAATTGACCTTGGCCTGTCTAAAACTCCTGGAGAAGATATCATCGTCGCCCAGGGCAATTTCGGCCTGGCATTCTGGATCTCCAAGGCAGATCCATCGAAACAAGGCGATCATGGCCCTGGAAGAGCGTAACGACGCAGCCACCATAGCCGGCTATTTTATTAACGAGTTCAGAAATCCCTTAGACTTCCGCAAGAAAGACAACTCGCCGGACTACGAAACTAAAGTCTGTATTCTCGATTTCATCTACTCTTGCTTACAGGCGAGTCCGGATCGGCCTACAATCGCTCACCTGTTCCTCGGTTTTCGTTGCGGGGCTGACACGCTCGAAATTGAACCTGGTGGTTTATATGACACGGGGAAGTCGCTATTTCACGAGTTGCTATCCGCAATTCTGGAACTTCGATCGACTGACGAAGAGGGGTCTATGCAAAGCTGGTTGATCAACCTCAAGTATAAAGTCATGCGAATTCTCAGAATACTCTGGAGCTCTCCTCTGTCGGCCAGTATCGTCCTCGAGGACCTCCGAGGAAACGAATTAGTGTTCCATATCTTAACGCAAGGCCTTGTAGCTCAGCAAATCCTCGTGTGGGATGGGTATGAAGCTCTCGGTCCGGACTTCCTCACGTATCCGGCGGCCGAAGGGTATGTCAATTATCTTTCAATAAGGGCTATGGCACTTGAGTATATTACTCGCGAGCTTTGCAGTGTCTCCCGTGGCCATACGCCAGCACTCAAGAGACGGGTATTCGACGCCCTTGGCGGCCAGATCAGAACCGACGGTCTGGAGGTTATATCTGTATCTTCAGTGTTCGAGTTTCAAGACTCATTGCCCCAGGAAAGCCTATTCACAGCTGCTCCGCCTGAGCTCAGAATGTACAGAGAACTTGAATTACGGCCGTGCCTAGTACAAGATGACGACCTAAATTGGATATATGACCTGGACAAAGTCCGAGAGATTATGCTTCTCAAGCGCAATGAGACTCGTCAATTTAGCCAACTTATTCTACAGCAAGACATTACGGCTATAGATGCAGAAGAAGAACTCCTGCTATTGTATTTAAGGTACTTGAATCGGTTCAAGCAGGTGAAATCGCGCGGCCTCAAGGTTCTGACAAATTGGACGAAACTCTTGACGGTGATGACCGACTGCAATGATTTCAAGGGTACAAACAAGGTCTCATTCATACTCCAGACCCTACAAGCGATACTTCCAAGCCTCGAATTGTACAGTTCGGAGAACCCCAATGCCGCTCTCGAGCTGGCTAAGCTAGCCAAGGTGTTAGTATTCGAATTAGATTTCGCAGCGATGACTTCCACCGACAAACAAAGCAAAACGGTAGAAAACCTGACTAGCGACAAGCTTTTTCAACTTCTTCAGGTTTGCTTAAGCGCTATCGCAAAATGGGCCGGCAATCAAGAATTGCGCGCAGTCTATTACAGCATCTGCTACCGCCACCTGACGGGACTGGTGGACCACGGACAAGGAGTTTCGTCAAGTCTCGGAAAAACAACTAGAACAATACGAGCATTCGGTGAAAAGCTTCTAAATGTTATCTGTGATGATGCATTTGGCGGAGATGCGGCATGTCAGTCGGCAGCCTTGATTCTCTTAGGAACGCTAGTCCAACTTGGCAAGCAGGAGCATGATAACTTCGTGGTAGAAGCGTTGAACAGACTGAACTTCATCAGTATACTTGTGGATTCTCTGCGTGGAGTACTAGTAGAATGGGAAGAGGTTGATCGGACAGGTAAGTTCTACACGCCGCTTTTCTTATATTGGGATCAGGAGTCTAATAAGCCATATTTCCAGGCGATTCGGATCAGCAGAACTATTTAAACGCCAAACTTGCATTATTACTACAATTATGCCAGACGCGAGAGGGTGCCAAGAATGTTCTACGTGCGAATCTATTCCGCGCCATCGAACAGTCGGGATTGTTTTCTGTGGATCCAGAATTGCAGGTGGATTCGACAGATAGCAGAGGCCTGCAAAGGCACTATACTCTCCTAGTCAATGTGGCCCGCATCATCGGTGCCGCGATAGTTAGTCGGGGATCGCATAACGTGCTGCAAGGCAGACGGTTCCTGACCGAGCACAGGATGTTGGTTATGCACGTCCTCAAACGTTCCGCTGGAATTGGTGCGGGAGGGGGGAAGACGGATGCGTTGCTTTCGGAACGCGTCGATGAATTAGCCGAAGCGTTTATGGTCATTATAACTGCAACGGGATTTTTAGAAGTAAGTCTAAAATATTTGTCTTCGTCTTGCGTCTACACTGATCAGATTGGGCTAACACGTTAATTTTGTATAGTTTGAGGGCGGCAGCCTGGATGAGGATAAAAGGCCCGCGCCGATCCTATTCCACTGAGAATAAGGCAAACGACTGTCTCTGGAAGAATTATAAGACGCCCGAGATATTAGACGATGATATAGTTGAGCCCAAATTCGCCGGTGGCGTTATAGGAAGAAAAGGCCTTGGGTGTGTAATTTAATACTACATAGATCCTTCAACACCGGCATCGTGGCTGAAAGCTGATCTGAGACATGAGAGACATCTGAGACACCTGCGCGTGGTGTGCATAAATACCCAGATACCCTAACGGATCCGTACCATTACCACAAACAGCGCGAGGTAGAATGCATGCAAACTTCCATGCTACCATGTGATGATCCCTTATCATGTGATTACTACATAGTATGTAGTCAGTGGTGTAATGAAATGGATGGATGAAAGGATATACCTTGTTTATTCTAGCGTGGTTTGTACCCCAGAAGACATCTAGAAGCCCCTTTAGGGTTTGTACCTAGGTAGCTAAAGTCTCGACGGATAAGGTACAGTAATTTGCTAATAGTATAAGTAAGCACCCATAGATAATTGATTGAGTTGGTGCAGTTTGCCACAAAGCAAAGATATACTATTAGATGATGATTGGTCAAAAAACGTGTGCTATGTTAATGAGCTTTGCTCCAATTAGCTGGTTTAAGCTTGGCGTCAGTCCGTAAGGCTTGGCTACGTTAGGGTAGCTTTGGTGTTCCCCGACTTCTCTTTGGCTAACGTGCTAACCCCTTGGCATTGGATAATAAAAAGTCACAGCCTATCAAATGTCAAGCTAGCCCCCAAACAGAACTAGTAACAATTAACTACTGGACTAACTGGACTATCAGACTATGTAATTGGACTAATTGGACTAACAACTTGCCCTAGACCATTTTTACCAAACTGCCAGATCCAGCAGCTCGTAAACCTCCAAACTTCAAAGTCCAAAGATTCCTCGAGTTTCGACATACCCCTGATAATTAATCCCCCTCATCCATGCAATTTTTTATCTCAAGTCCGTGCAAACTTAACCAATGTGGGCAGCCCGTCTCCATAAACCGCACCACTCCGCTCTAACGACATTTCGGTACGCTAGCTGGTTGGCTGAAGCCTTGACCCTTGCAAAATGACGATGTCCAGCACGGTTGGGGAATCAGGAACCACCGTTCGGAAGCAATTGATTTCTCAACTCTCGACAATGAAACATCACATGTGATCTGTGATTGATCTGCGATCGACATGCTACTGCTCGTAGTATTCGGTGCGACTTATATACAACCTTCTCCTGAATTCTCCTCGACGTTACTCTCGTCGGCCTCACGCATTGGTTAGGTGCCTTGTGATGAGGCGCCGAGGAAAAGCCAGAGGGCACGCGACATGTTACCAACCCCCGGGAAGTTTTTTTTTCGCTTACCTACGATCATCTCCTCCTGGGACCATCTGGAACATGTGAGTAAACACCCTAAGCAAGCTGCCAGGGCAGGGGTCCCCAAAGAGAAGATGTGAGCCGGGCAAGGCCAAGAGCCAAGAGTCCACTACATAGTACATTCTACACACGCAGACACGGCTACGCCAGTACTGGTCGTCGGTCAGCAATACCTATGCGCCCAGACTGGCTAAACGAGCGTTGGAGAGAGATAAGCAACGCCCCGCCGCTCAGAGAGAGATATACAGAGCTACTACATACCTAGGTTAGTAGGTATGTACTAGTTATAAGATAACCTATTGGTGCTTTGTTCTATTGTAAGGTTGCTACTACGTAGCAGTTGTTCCGCTCGCCAATCCGGAAAGCGGAAAACGTCGGGGATCGGCTGAGAGGTTGCAAGACGTCTCGTTACTTGCCCGTTGTTGGATCTAATCCGTATACTTATTTAATAGCTGAGCATTTCCCCGGTCTAACCTTCACCTCCCCTTTGACTCTTATTTGTTCTGATCCTTCAACAAAAAAATACTTTGGGACTGAACACACAAGACTGTCTTTCACTCTCTTGTGTGTCGCTTATCAGTCGACCTTTTCTTTTTTTTGTTCGATTCCGTTCATTATCAGAAACATAACTATCGAAAGAAGAAAGGTTCAGTACAACACCATGGAGAAGGAGGGCGTGGTACAGAGGTCGACTAGGTCGACGACCTCGTCACCTTCGGGCGACAAGGACAAGATGTCGTATAACGATATGGACCTCGAGGGATCGCGCATCCGCGGTATCGAAACGTCGGCGGAGACGTCGCTTCATCGCGGTCTTAAAGCTCGTCACATTACTATGATTGCTATCGGTGGTGCTATTGGAACAGGTCTCATCATCGGAACCGGTAAAGCTCTCGCGCAAGCCGGTCCGGGCTCTATCTTCATCTCGTACACTCTCGTCGGTGGGATCGTCTACCTGGTCATGACCGCCCTTGGCGAGATGGCTGCTTGGCTCCCCATGTCTGCTGGTTTCACTGGTTACGCTTCTCGGTTCTGCGACCCTTCGCTTGGTTTTGCGCTCGGCTGGACGTAAGTTATCGACTTTCATTTTTCGTAACTTGGCCTATTCGCACGAATTGCGTAGCACACTCCTAACGCGCTCGATGATCAAACTAACTCATTAATCTCATGCGGTATAGCTACTGGATAAAATACATCATCGTCACGCCTAATCAGCTCACAGCCGCGGCTCTGGTTATACAGTTCTGGCTACCTCGAGAACAAGTCAACCCGGGTGTTTGGATTGCTATATTCCTCGTCGCTATTATTTTTATCAATTATTTCGGTATCCAATTCTTTGGTGAATTCGAGTTCTGGCTGTCGAGTTTCAAGGTCATCGTCATCCTCGGCGTTATCCTTCTATCTCTCATCATTGCTTGCGGCGGCGCAGACGGTGACCCGAGGGGATTCCGGTACTGGAGCGATCCTGGGTAAGTAAATTACGCGGTCTTATAATTATAATAATGAGGCCACTTTAGAGAGACTATGTCGCTAACCCGGAACAGTGCTTTCGTTCCTTACATCGGGACAGGCTCCTGGGGTCAGTTCCTTGGATTCTGGTCCACTATGGTCACTGCTACTTTTGCTTATCTGAGTACTGAGTTGGTCGGTGTGACTGTCGGCGAGGCCCAGAACCCGCGCAAGACTATCCCTCGCGCCATCAAACTCACTTTCTACCGAATTGTCGTCTTCTACTGTGTCAGCATTCTTCTGATCGGCATGTGCGTGCCCTACAATGCTAAGGAACTTGTCTTCGCCGTCAACCCGGATAAGGACCCCAACAAGAAGGCCGGTGCCAATACCTCTAACGCCAGCGCCTCTCCGTTCGTCGTCGCCATCAAACTCGCTCATATCCCGGCCCTCGACCACATCCTCAACGCCTGCATCCTCCTATTCGTCTTCTCCGCCGCCAACTCCGATCTGTACATTGCCAGCCGAACCCTCTACGGTCTGTCCTCGGACGGCGCAGCCCCTTCCATCTTCCGAAGAACCAACGCCAAGGGTGTACCTCTATACACCCTCTTTACCTCGGCGGCGTTCGGCCTCCTCGCTTTCCTGAACGTTTCGGACGACTCCAAGCAGGTCTTCACCTACTTCGTCAACCTGACCACCATCTTCGGCCTCCTGACGTGGATCTCGATTCTCGTCACGCACATCTGGTTCGTACGGGCTCGCCGCGCGCAGAACCTGACCAACGCCATGATGCCGTACTCGGCGCCGCTGGGCGTGTGGGGCTCGTACGTGGCGCTGTTCATGTGCATCCTCATCGCGCTTACCAAGAACTACGACGTGTTCACGGGCGACTGGAACACCAAGTACGCCACCTTTATCACGGGCTACCTGGGCATCCCCATCTACCTCCTCCTCATCTTCGGACACAAGCTCTGGACCAAGAGCAAGGGCGTCCGCCCTCACGAGTGCGACTTCTACACGGGCAAGGACATCATCGACCGCGAGGAAGAGGAGTTCCTCGCGGCCGAGGAGGCTAAGCGCGCGGCGGCGCCCGAGGGTAGGGAGGGCCTGGCGCGCTTCTACAGGCGCTTTGTTTCTTGGCTGTTCTAGAGGGACGGGGCGCTTTGTTGTTGTTGTTGTGGTTGGGGTTGGGGTTGGGTACTTGGGTGGGAGCATGGGAGCGGGAGCGGGAGGGTCGTATTGCTTGTCATACCCTTTGAAAAGATACCTATTTCTGTCTGTATAATGTACATAGCTATGTTTGCGTTGTGTTGCGCTACGGTGCGCTCGAACGCTGTGGTATAACGAAGGGAATTTAATTTGTTACCTAAGTGTATATCCCCGCGTCTTGAATGTATAGCTAGTAGGTACCTACATATCTATGTGGCGATGCCCTCTGTGGTAGTAGTCACGTATACATACGTTCCTACGTGTGATGATTTGCTTATACATTAGTAGTCATACCCGCATAGGTAGGGAGGTTGGCTGGTTACCTTAAGTACCTGGTAGGTATAAGCTATTTCGAGCCTCGGCACTACCTACTATTTACCTCTTACTACGCTCTACAGGTAAAGGCGAAGTCGTCGCGGCTCAGGTACTTACTGCCTTTAAGGTATGCGTGTGCGTGTGCGTGTCAGAACTTACATGATCCCTAAATCCCGGATGCGACTCCCGTAGCCGGGAAGGGAAGCCTCTGAGGCTGAAAGAAGATGACCGGAAGATAGCGGTAGGGCAGGCTGGCTGGCTGGCTGGCACGGACGTAGTTGGTGTGTGTGTAGCATCATAGTGTACATAGGTAACGCTAGCGGAGATTGCGAGGACCCCTGTCTGCGTAGAGGGGGTTGGAGAAAGGAAACAACCCCCTTGACTTGACTTGACTTGTGTCTCGGTATTGTACACTAGGTAGGTATGTAGTTGGGTACGTTACGTTACGTTACCTGAGATGGCGGGGTGGGATGGGATGGGGAGCGCATGAATGATATTCCTGGTGTTGCCTTTTTCTGCTATTTTCGATGGGCTTTTTATAGATTTCTGGGGTGGGAGTGGGAGTGGGAATGGGAGTTGTGGTGATGATGGAGGAGTGGTGGGATAGATTAAGTAGTAGACAGGTCATGCCGAAGGATTCGATCCGCGCCCGTGCCCGTGGAATTAGTCCTTGCTCTTTTCGCTTATTCCGAGAGTAGGTGTTTGAAGTTTTGGGAATTATATAACTAGTACGAAAGGATTTCAATACGGCGTGGGGGGCGTTAATGGGATAGGACCTAGAGCATAGCATAGCATAGCATAGCAATTGTGTGATAGCTTCAAGTCATCGTAGATGGTTCTATTAGAGGCTACGGCTAAGATCACGATAATCTAAGACATACAGAGGTGCATTAACTACCTAAACTAACTAATAGCTCTAAGGAATACCGAGGTACGTTCAACTGGTATTATGGTATCCAATGGAGTGAGTGTGTTGGACCCCCACGGCGTGTTTGCTGAAACCAAGTAGGTAGGTAAGTTGATGGACGTATTCTTATGCAGACCTAACTTAGGTTTCACTCTTTAATACCTAGATATGAAGAGACCAGGGTCTAGCCCGAATAAGAGTTGAGGTTACGATCCCGCGGTGCATATATACTAGGTTACTTACCCCTTTCTTAGAAAGTACCCAAGTATTCAAGACGAATATTTAAAAGTCGACACTCGTGCGACTATAAATATGATAAGTCATAGAATGAAACTATCACATTATGTATATTAACTAGCGATTATAAACTTCTATACGTTCGCTGTGTGCGTTCTCTGCAGCCGAAAGTAACGTCTGTTAGACCTATCAATCAACTTGTATGTTTGGGGGGACGGAGATATGTAGGCTCGGGTATCCAATGGGAAGGCGAACCATCAACCAACAACATCTTCGAAGGTGGCGAGCAAGTAAGAAAGAGTGGCGGTAAAGATAAGGCTAGTTAGACTGAACATTCGATGGAATAGGGGTTTTATCTCTATATGTACATCTCCTGTTCGATCGAGTGTTGGAATCCCAAATATTTTCCTTCGTCAGATAGCATTTACCACTAACTACCAAGCTTTATATTTCGTTCTTTTATGCTGCTAGCTCTAGGTTAGGTACTTTTTGAGTTAATACGCTAGACATCCTTGATGCCAGATCAGTGCCTAAACTGCTTGCTTGAATTATAAATCCGTGCCTCCTACTGAAGTACCTAACCTACTACAACATCTATATAAATTTCTCCTATACATAACGCATAGGTACCTGTTATGTGTGAACTGTTATGTCTAGACCTTCAAATATGAAAGCCCTTGAAAATAAGGGGAGGCTGGTATATGGGAACTAGACGGCCAGTTTGTGTAAACCAACCCCAAGTACTACAAATCTCACACGATGTGTTCTTGTATCTAAGCCTAGATTAGGTCAGGTCTTGACAATTACGTTGGATACAACTTAAGTACATAGGCTCACGATATTTCCATGTGATCGGAATCATCATGTGGCTTGAGGTATGTGATATCGACTCAATTATCTCCCTACCTAGCTTAGTTATCCATTTAATAGAGATAATACGTCCTCTAACTCCTTTGCCGTATCAGTCTCCCCATCTACCCTACCCCTTAACTGCTCCGCAATCCCCCGTATAGCAGTCGCTGAATGTACATACCGTTTCCTCAGGCCGGGATTCGCATTTGACAGCAACGTAGCAACAAGCTGCAATACGTCCGCCTGAAAATCAAGCAGTGACACGTTCTCAGCAATGCCCTCTATAATCGGCACGTCGTATGCCGCTACGGCAGTCACCACGCCCATCCAGTCCTCAGGGGTCGTACCCTCGCTCTCTGCTACTATTTGCAGGACGAGGGCAATGCGGGTACCGCGAATGATGTCCTCTTCCCGTAGGACAGTGGAGGTCGAGCTCTCTTCAAGAATCTTAAGCATGTCTCCCGACAGAATTTTCCAGCCGTCGTATGAGTTGAAAGCCTCGATTCCCTTAGATGTACGGAGCACGCCTTCGAGCGCCGCAAGGATGGGGAGTCTGTAATCTAGTCCACTCGGTTGGGACGAATTCGAACCGCTACTTTGATACAGCTCCATGAACATATCCATCAGCCCAGCGCCCTCTTTCCTTAGAACATCACCGTCGTCGTCACGGACCCAGAGCGCGATTGCGCGGATGGCGGAGAGTATGAAGGCATCCGTGGCTGCGCTCTCATCTTTCGCGTCCCAAGCAAGCGTTTTGTGGGAGCCGAAGTCTGTATGCGCGTTGCTGGTTCGTGCCTCTGGGTGTAACCCCTGGGCCCCTGCTACCGAGGCATCCCAGCGGTCCCGCAGATACTCCATTACAACGGACAAGGTTTCGGCGATCGAGCTGCTGAGCTTAAGGATCAAATCAGGAGGCATCTTGAGCCAGGAATCTGCTGATTTTGCGTCTGGCCTGGGATTGTCCAATTCCTCCATCCAAGAAATCAGTTGGCCGACGAAGGCTGTTAGAATATCAAGTGCGGATGTGAGACGCTGCGAGATGCGCGGGTATTCCGGGTCGTTGAGCTTTTCTAGGAGAGAGGGTAGAGTTGCGCGTAGGTCCACTAGGATGAGATTGATGAAGAGGTACGAGAATGGCTTTGAGGAGTCTTTATCGTCGAGGAATAATAGCTGAGGCGTGGACTCCGGATAGATAAGTAGCAAGGCACCCGCACAATTTGTATATGCAGAACGGCTGGCTGCGGTTGGCCTGTTGGTCGCTAAGTTGCGTATGAGCTTGGCAACGGAACCTAGCCACTTTGGATTTCTGGGGATGAGCTAAATGGTGGTTAGAAGCTATTCACAAGGTCCAGCGGCATAAGGAATCATACATTCTCGTTGATATTCCTTAGGACATGGGATACGAATTCCAGTAGACTTGTTGCGTCGGTTCCAATGAAGGAAGATACGAAAGATTGGATTCCTTGGTCAATCTTAGTCCTCATCGCTTCCCTGGCTGCTTCATCTTCAAGGCCGGTAGGTCCCCTCTCCCAAGCCCAGATGAATATCGTGAGGACATGTGCGTGTTCTGGAGCAATTTCTATTAAAGGGGTCCAGTCATCGATATCAAGATGGGCGAAACTTTTCGCACCCCCAGGTACGGCAACAAGAGTTAGCAATGTCTCTATGATTACCTGGGTTGTCTCTTTGGAGCTGATCCTGTGTTAGTGTATGTGACTTGTAAGTAAGCGGTGATTTCCATTACCTATAAAGGACCGCCTTGGCCAATTTTGGTATTCTATCGAGTAGTTTTGCGTCTTGCTTTGCGTCATCGGGTAACAGCACAGCAAATGTATGAATGACAGCGATTGCTAAGTCAAGCATATCCTTGGAGTTCTTCTGTTCCGAGCCGGAGTGAGAACCGGTGCGTAATAGCCGGTCTAGAAATTTGGGTGAAATAGAGTCCCATAATGAAACTATAACTTCTTTCTCACTCTGGAGCTCGGGGGAGTTGTCTAAGACGGACTTTAGAAGAGCCAACCCAACGAATCTGGAGGTATCATCTTTGGCCTTGAGATGTTGCTGAATTTTCTCTATAGCTATAGATGAAGTTGTAGTGTCGCCCGATCCGCCTTCGTCGCTGTGTTGCACTTGTAGCTTCGACTTCGAGACATCTGGAATATCCATCTTCTCACTTATACGGCATCAAAGCCTCAAGCCAGGGGCTTTTCTTAGGTATGGTGTTCACTTGGCATTTGAGCCTTGAGGATGAATAACTTGCTGTAGATCTCAACTTGTTGACCTCAATCAAAATAATCAAAATAGGAATGTATTATGTATTGCTGATTTCTTTTTCTATTTTCTCTACCCAAGATAATTTCTTGGTTATTAGATGAAGTTCTTTCGAATTCTACTGTGATTTAAGAGCCAATAAGAACTGGTGGTATGTATTTTTGGGTACTACGTATTAGGTGCCAAGTCACAGTTACAGAGGGTCGGTAATTGGTAACAACTAGGTTAAGCTCTTATCGTTATCGGCTTCTATGCACTAATGTAGCCTGTAGGTGTTAGCGACAGCCGATTCGGACCCCTACCCATTAACCTAAACCCATTAAACCTTCTGGTCGCAAAGCCGCAACGCGATCGCGCAGCTATGAAACTTAGACAATCTCCATATTTCGACTCAGTAAGATAACGTTAGGTACCTAAGGCACCGCGTTATGGCAGATCGCATGACTGGGCCTTCGATATGGCAAGCAGCAGGAATTTCATAAATCCACACGAGGAAGAAGGCTCATCGTCTTCTACCAGGTCACCGAACGAACCGCGGCCCTCCAATGACGAGAGAGACGAGCTCGACTACTTGTTTGATGGAGACGATGGAGATGGGGATGTGCTAGGAAATGACCCCTTGAATGACGAATTGGCAGAACCTATGAGTTTCAAGAGGAAACAAAAACGGTCCGTCTTCTCGCAGACGAGTCGCTTACTATCCACGTTAACGGGCAATCGCTTGGGATCAGCATCCCCACGATCACCGCATTCCGGTACCGAAACGCCAATGAGGTTAGAAGGTTTGAACCCGGAGCGACCTGATAATACTTCCAATACGCCGAACGGTCTGAAAGAGGGAACGCCGCCAGATTGGTACGTTGAGGGGCCGGGCCGGAGAGTTGGGTATGAGGATCTTACGGCCATCGATTGGATCTTCGAATACACGAAAGAGCGACAACGTCTACGGGTGCTGTATTCAAGCGCGACGGGAATAGTTGGATACATACAACAGCTCCTAGATTCTAGTCAGACATGGGTTATCCTCGTTCTGACGGGGCTTGCTGTCGGTGGACTGGCAGCAGGCATAGACGTAGCCTCGGACTGGTTAGGTGATATAAAGACTGGTTATTGCACTTCAGGGCCCGAAGGAGGCGCATTTTATCTGAACAAGCAATTCTGCTGTTATGGCTACGACCAGGGTGCTAAATGCCTTGGATGGAAGCCCTGGGCCGCAGCATTACGCATAGGGTCTACTGGTGGAAAATGGTTTATAGAATACTTCTTCTTTCTGATATTCTCCGTGAGTCCGTCTTTAAGCATTCCCAAGTATAAAGCACTCCTAAGTATAAATGACTAATAAATATATAGGTAACATTTGCCTTATGTGCTGGATTCCTGGTTAAGGAGTACGCCATCTATGCTAAGCACAGCGGTATACCTGAGATAAAGACGGTCTTGGGTGGTTTCGTTATTCGGCGCTTCTTGGGGACTTGGACGCTGATCACCAAGTCTCTAGGACTAGTACGTCTCGTAATAGCATATATCGAATAAATAAGCTAACTGAGGATAGTGTCTTGCCGTCGCTTCGGGCATGTGGTTAGGCAAGGAGGGCCCTCTGGTACATGTTGCTTGCTGCTGCGCCAATCTATTCATCAAATTATTCCCCAATATCAATACCAACGAAGGTGTGTATCACGAATAGCGACGGCTTTACGAGAGCGTGCTAACCCGAAGCAGCACGGAAACGAGAGGTGCTCTCTGCCGCTGCGGCATCGGGAATCTCTGTTGCGTTCGGCTCTCCTATTGGGGGTGTGTTGTTCAGTCTCGAACAGTTGTCCTACTACTTCCCCGACAAGACTATGTGGCAGAGTTTCGTGTGCGCCATGACAGCAGCCGTCGTGCTACAGGCCTTCGATCCCTTCCGGTCTGGTAAACTCGTGTTATACCAAGTCAAGTTCAGCACGGGTTGGCACGGCTTCGAAGTCATACCCTTTGCCCTTCTCGGCATTTTTGGTGGTCTCTACGGCGGACTCTTCATCAAGGCTAACATGCGTGTGGCACAATGGAAGAAGTCAACATCATGGCTTCCTGGTCCCCTAACACAAGTTGCCATCGTCGCTCTCTTGACGGCCCTGATCAATTACCCTAATTTCTACATGCGAGCGCAGTCTTCGGAGCTCGTGTCTTCGCTCTTCACTGACTGTGCGTTGGTACTGGATGACCAATTCGGTCTCTGTAAGACGGGCGCCGCGACGGCCGGCACTATCGTCTTATTACTATTTGCCGCTGTCCTCGGCTTCTTCCTGGCATCTATTACCTTTGGACTACAGATCCCAGCAGGGATCATCCTGCCTTCTATGGCCATTGGAGCGCTTTCCGGCCGGGCGTTAGGTATCGTCATGGAGATTTGGCAACGCAATCATCCCGACTTCTTCGCCTTTAGTAACTGCGATCCCGGCAGACCTTGCGTGACGCCGGGTGTATATGCCATGATAGGCGCAGCTGCTACGCTCGCGGGCGTCACACGCATGACCGTCTCCATCGTTGTCATCATGTTTGAGTTAACAGGCGCGCTGACATATGTTCTCCCGATCATGGTGGCTGTGATGCTGTCTAAGTGGGTGGGCGACGCCTTCTCGCGGCGCGGCATCTACGAGAGCTGGATCCACTTCAACGAGTACCCGTTCCTGGACTCGGGCGACGATGGTAGCGGCGCACAGCACGTGCCGGACATCCCGGCGTCGCAAATCATGACGAGAATCGAGGACTTAGTCGTGCTAACCGCGACGGGTCACACCATCGCCAGCTTGCGCGGGGTGCTCGAGTCGTGCGACTACCGCGGGTTCCCCGTGGTAAGCGATCCGCGCGACGCCGTTCTGCTCGGCTACATCAGTCGCGCCGAGCTCGCGTACAACCTAGCAGCTAGCACGCAGCCTCCGCGCAGCCTGCCCCCCGAGACAGAAGCATTCTTCTCGCACCAGCCGCTCGCGGACCCGCGCACTACGCTGGACTTGCGCCCTTGGATGGACCAGACGCCCCTGACGCTGCCCAGCCGCAGCACCCTACACCTCGCCGTCGCGTACTTCCAGAAGCTCGGCGTGCGCTACGTGCTATTTAGCGACCGCGGCGTCCTCCAGGGCCTGCTCACCAAAAAGGACTGCTGGTATGTACTGAACGGCGCGGAGGAGGGGCGGAGCACCGGAAGGGCTGGGCAGGGAGTGGTGCGCGGAAGCGGGGACGACGATAATGGAGTACTATCTGGTGCGGCGGGAGAGCGGGGCGGTTTATTGGGTCCTGATGATGGCTCGCTGGATTCGCCTATGGGTGATGATAGAAGTGGGATCCTATAGACTTTGTATTATTATTATTATTATCTAAGCTTGGTGTTCGTGTTTTTCTTGGGTTAGGTTGGTTCGGAAAGGCGCGTGATATAATAGGCGGGTTAATATTATATATACGAAATACCTACCTTCTTGATTCTACTAGAAATTTCCTTTAAAGGGGGTGTATATGTGAACTATGTATAATATAATATCCGCATCCGCGCGCTCTCTCCTAAGCTCACACCCGCCTCCGTTTTCTCCGGTCACACGGGCCAATCAGACGGAAGAGAAAGCAGTTCGATGAGTACATACACTACGGAGACGGGACGATTGGTAGCCACCCTTATGGGATGCTCGTTTGTCTGTCTGTTTGTTTGTCTGTCTGTTTGTCTGTCTGTCTGTTTGTTTGTTTCCTACCCCTCAAGAAAAAAAAAGCAAAATGAGGCTCCAGCGTTATTTCCGCGGTGTGTAACTACCTAAGGTACCTAGGTATAGTAAAATGATATAACTAAGCTACTTCGTTTACTAGGACCGTTATGTATATGCCGTAAGAGAAGCGAGATAAACCCCGGCTTATGATAGGCCGCCTTGTAGCGAGGTACGAAAATGCGAAGGGGTACGCGGGTAGGTATAGTTAATATAATATGTATGTATGTGTTGGAAGGGCTTACGTGCTGGGCAACCTGTATGCCGATGTGTCAGGTACGTGGAGGGAGTGTGGCTATTGGAAGCGTTCACGGGATTGTTAAGCAATACATATTATCAAAATTCAAGCGTGGATTGGGGGCACATACTTTCTGTTATACCTCCCCTTTAATCACGAGATCCCATCTCTTGCACATAAGTATATCGTAATAACAAGAATAATAATAATAATCCATTTGTATTAATTAGAGCCGGGCCATGCTGGAAAAAAAAGCATCGGTCTCTTATGGATCCTATGTAGTACCTATGCTTGCTTGCTCTCTATAAGATTATTCCTATTCTTGTTGCCAGGATCTCAGTCAGATCTCAGCCAGATGCAAAAAGAAAGCAAGCCACATCCCAACCCGGTTTGAGACGAGAAAATGATGGGGTATCATGCCGTGGATGTATGAATCCCAACTCCCCTTCCATGCAGAAATTCACGCCCGCCTTGTACCTGCCGCGTACCTGTCCGTATGTGTCCCTGTCCGTTCCCGCTTGGGCCGGCAAAAAGAAAAATAAAACCCTCCTCTTAGACAGCTTCTCAATAATATACTAGAACGCCTCTATTAAAACCATGCGCAAGGCTGGAATCTCACGACTTGCTGCCGTCCAATAGAAGACTACCCTGCCTAACCCTGATTCGTCCCACTTCTCGTCTGAACTGCGTCTGCACCACGTCAGTCGGACGGTGAAGTAGCATAATCCCTGTCATGTGCTCAACTACGTCACGAAGAAACAGCTGGCCGCTTTCCCTTCTTGTTGGCAGTCATGATCTTTAGTTCGAGATGGTAGTACGACTTTTGATTTTTGCCCTTCTTGTCCTTGGGGTCGACTTTCGTTCGGCAGACAGGGCAGGTCTTTCTCATGTTGTCGATATGAAGGGCTGAATGTAGGCATTCGGAGCAGAATAGGTGACCTAATAATATGCAAGTTAGTAACAAAACCTACAGCAAGAATTAAGTAAAGGGACCAGTCCTAGCATACCGCAATGTGTGACGGTCAAGTAAGAGGTGTCATCCATGCAAATGACACATTGAAATTTGCCAATCTTGATGCGGTTGTCAGCTTTGGGAGCCATAAACTCCGATGGGACTTCAGCGGCATTAGATAAATCAATAGTTTCATGGCCGTCATCGTTGGCGGGTCCACCGCAACCATCGTCGACAAACGGATCTTGGTCATTTGGCTTCCATTTTAATCTGCTCGCCCGGCCGGAGTTCTGAAGGGAAGATTGAGATGTTCGCCGTCTCTTGGAAGCCGAATCGCTATTTGCGCCGGCGGCGGCTCGCTTTCTGGGAGGCATGGCGGGTGTTGTAGGGTCGATTCCCGAGAATGAATCGAAATCCGGCTCCTCCTTAGTCAGGTCGACAAGGTGTCCTTTGTTACTTCTCGGGCAACGAGGACCGGCTGTTGGCATTGCTTCTCCGACTTCGAGAGGTTTAGGTAGGTGGGAAATATGCAGTCGAGTAGGCGGGAGAGGACTGCTGTTGATAGGAGGAAGTGACGGCGAAGAAAAATCGCCGTCAGCTAAGGCAGAAAGGTAGTAATCGTCACCGTTCGCCTCGGCAGCTGGTATATTCGGCGGAGGAAGTTGTGCATGAATATTGTTAATGTTAGATGACGACGGCCTCTGTCCCTGAGCTCGCGGTGGGGCAACACCGGTGTGGGTGTCGGTATGGGAATTAACCGCCGAGCGAGGTAACCGCCGTATACTCGAATCTAACGCGGGGAACGCAAATTCTGGCCTAGTAGACGTCCGACTAGACCGTCCTTGACCGTGATTGTAATGGTTGGTGGCCGACGGGTTGTGATCGTGAGGTGAATAGCAAGGTACGTAGGAATCGACTCGCTGGGGGGAATTAAATCCGCCGGAGAATTGGCGCTCGTTCAGTAGGGAGGGTAGAGAGGGGAACTGGTAACTCGAGTAGTCCTGCTGATTCGGGTTGAAGGGGGTGGCATTCGCTGGGGTGGATGGTCGTCCGAAGGAAACTGGGCGATTAAAGATACCGTAGTCGGAGAAGTCGACGGCGCTGGCAAATGCGGTTTGCGCGGGATCTGGATCAGGTTGTGATACTACTAGGTTGCACGTAGCCAAGTTTTAGTCTCCTTTTTCTTGACAGTGCGAGATCTGGTTATGAAATATGTGAAGTTCAGTTTGAGGGGGGGGGGGGGGGGGGTGAATTACTTGTAGGTATGAAATTTGAAAAGTACAATAGGTATGTGAGAAGTTTTGAAAGGTACTGTTTTCTTTCAGAAGAAATATTAATAAAGTGGGAGAATACCTCTGTATGCCATTATTTCTTTTTTTTAGGTTTTGCGGCTGAGGAATGTAGAATGGAAAATGCGAAGTGATTAAAAAAGAAGTTTAGACGGTTGATTTCCGCCTCTGAGGATTGAAACAATAATAGCAAACTTTGAGCTTAAAGTGCTTTTTGCGCGTGATTGTCCTTTGGTACAGCTGGTGGCAGTGGCAATTTGTTATCGGCGATAAAGACGTCGTTCTTCCCTGCTGCACTTGAGGCTTGCGCCAAAGTAGGTACGGCTGGTACGACTGGTACGACTGGTACGGGTATTCCAGGTATTCACGGACCTGGTGGTAGCCGCTTCCCGGGATGCGCAATCACCAGGCTGCCAGGTGATTACAATAACAGCAAATTACTTGTTATCTCGGTAAATTGGCCAAAAACACAGGTTTCAAGTGCTTCTTTTCTCGAACTTGGTTATTCCCACACCTTGCTGCTCGAACATGCTATTCGATTCGTTGATCCGATGCGAATGGAGTCGCCGGCTAGAATAGTCGCGGGTTTTCTTCTGGTTTCTCTTTCGTTTCTCTTTCTTTACTTAGTTTTGAGTTTGGCAAAAAAAAAAAAAAAAAAAAACAAGAAAAACAAGAAACACGTAAGCATTTGTTGGAAATTTGTTACGAAGATGAGGTGAGGTTTTGACACAGGTGGCTGCTACATGACTAGGTTAGCTATTTAACTGATTCCTGGCCGGGTACGATTCATGTATCCACAACTGCATACATATACCGGTACTCCGTGTGGTGGTAACAAGTTGGACCATCAATTGGAGCCACCTGGGGCACCGTCCGCTCCTTCCCCCAAACGAGTCTACGTAGCCATACAATGCCCGTTAACATATGATGTTCTACACTTGTAGAGTTTAAACAACATTACCTACATAGTATAAGGAAGGTAAGCACGCGTAGTCGAGACGGAGAAAACGGCATTCACGGATTAAGATACGTACCTCTATCTATAGTGCACATAACTTATGTATAATATATGCAGGTGGATGTACATCCATGCTAAACCAGTTCGCTTAGTTATACGATGTACGAAGATATCCAATCCAATACCTCATACGGAATACAGCTCAGGTACGGTTGAATCCTACCAATCCGCACATGAAGCTACCCCTGTCGTTGCCTTTTCTATCCCCCACTTACATATCAGGTATTTACAACATCAGATATTTTTTCTTCTTCCTCTTGACGGCAAACCCCAAACTACATAATATAACTACCTCATAGAAGGAATACTAACTAGGCTAACTCTGTGTCAGGCAGTTTCGTATTATCTAACTGGGTTAGTAGAGTTCGTGTTGAGAGAGAGATTAGTTGGCAGCGTTTCAACACTTCGGGAAAAGATTACACTCTCGCTACCTCTAATGATATTTTCGACGTTACGTTTTAGGGATCTCTGTGCGAGGTGTGCGAGGATCAATATACGACGAGTATAGTCGGTACTATCTGAACGCCTCCTCATAGGCATGTGTCTAGATCTGCCATGAGACATGGTACGGCATAGCTTACTGCATCCAGACCGACCTTCGCTTGTCATAAGCTTATTTGAGTTTTGCAGCCCACCAAGAAATGTCTATGCACGGAGGTATTGCTGGCCACAGTGGTTAGAAGGTAGATATGTGAAGTATCTACATCTGCGCGTTGATCACACTACACCCGTCCTCGATACCCGTACCTCAAGAGCCAATAGCAAATAGCACCGCTTCCCGAGACAGCGGACAGCAGACACCGGCTTTTACCATGCTCAAGCGAAGGACGGCCCGCATCGAGGTAAGAAGTGGAGTTACTAGACGTAAGTGATTACTCTTTAATTATGCAATAGCAGAAAACTCCGTGATCATTCGGACGAACACCCCGCCACTGTCTTGGTCGTCGAGTAGGTAGATACATGCTAGGCTACCTATTCTACTTACTCTTGCGCACTATCCCCTATGTGCCACTTCCGTCGCTTGAAATGCGAGCGGTATTTATTAGCTGCTGGAAGACAAAATGTTCATACCAATAGGATTTACCTTTGGTTGCCGAGAATCGCTAGGATGTCCCTCACCCCATTGAATTATCAATGAAATGTAAGTAACTTAACGAGCAAACGCCATCAGGTTAGTCGGAGAATATTTCGGGTAGTAACATCCCCGTCTCATCAACCGATACCCAGAGCAATGGTGGCGCTTCTCATTAACTTCGAGTCGTCTTCTTCTGGCCTTTCGAAAATTTCCAAGCAAAGATCAAGCACAGGACGAGGCCAACTACGCCCAGCCCAATGGCCACGCTGTTGTTCGACGAGAATCAGTAGCTGCTTGAAGTATAGGGGTTCAAACTATATCCCAAAAAAAAAATAGTTTCGAATTAGACTCCTCAATGAGCCTCAATCCCTCAAAACCCAAAAAAAGGGGGAACGAAACGACTCCGAGTTACTCACTACCAGGCTCCCCTGTACCCCTTCAAAATGTCCTCAGTGGTCACTCCACCATTATTCACGTGAAGCTCAACGGTTCCAGCAACGCCCAACGCGAGCGCACCGCTATAGTTAACCACTGTGGTAACTAAGCTGGCTGCAATGCCTTGATGCTCGCTAGATACCAAATCCGAAAGCATAAGTGTCGCCGCTGGAAAGCTCAAATCCATTCCCCAGGTGATGATCACATTGCAGAGGAAGGTTTGCGTCCAATACGTCTGATTAATAGGGGCTGTTGCGATGAGGGTAGTGCCGATGGTAAAGGCTAATAGTGCGAGGGCCATCACAACCGCTGGTCCTACACGGTGAATGATCATACCCGTAGTGATGGCTGCTGCAATACCACTGACCAAGATTGGACTATGCATTGCCGTGGCTAGGAGAGGCGGCGCGCCTCGCAACACCTCATAAAATCCCCAGATATAATAGATATAAATTCCAAAGCAGCCCCAGCCACAAAAAACGGCGCCGAGGACGAAAAATACTCCCGAGTTGACAGCCTCGAGTGGTATCAAAGGCTTACTGGCGTACTTCTCGACAAAGATAAAACCCACGCATAGCAGGGCACCTGCTATTAGAAGCCCGGGAACGCATGGGCTCTGCCAGCCCTTGACGGATGCTTGGTTCCAGGAAACACTGATGAGAATAAGACCACTAACCCCAGTTAGAGCACCGGGGACATCCAGCTCGGCACATAATGATTTTAACCCCCCTGGCGACACTCTAACCTTTTCCGGGGACAACTCACTAGGTATCACGAGTGCACCGGCAAGAGTAATGAATATTAATAGAAGGGACAAGCCAAAAAACGCATACGGCCACCACGCTAGTGCTAGCAGGCTTGTAAATGCCGGCGAGATGATAGCAGAAGCCGGGGCCATGGCCCCAAAGATGGCGAACAACATAGCCTTTCGTTGCCCGGGTACATAGGTGACGCCTAATAGCGCCACAGCGTTTGGGACTATTAGTGCTGGCCCGAGGCCTTGCATGATACGCGCAAAAAGGAAAGCAGCGTAAGGTCGAGGCGCGTAGACAGATAGGCCGGCGACAAGCGAGAACAGCGCAAACCACGTATTGCCGACGAGGAAGATGAGTTTGTGGCCATAGACGTCCCCAAGGCGGCCTGCCAGGAGAATGAACGTCCCCGTTAGGCCATATCCAGCAATGAGCCACACGAGTTGTCCTGGGTTCGTAGCGCCCAGATCAGAACCTATAAGGCGAAGGATACAGAGAGCTTGGTGAAATCCGGAATCTATTTGGCTTTAGTCAGGTGGTTCACGAATAACTTAAAGTATGACGTGGTTCGGAGAATCGACTCACGAGGTGTAAAATTGGCCGTTGACACAACGACGAAGAAGGCCAACTCGTGAATAATCGACATAGGTCTTCCAAGGAAGACATGTGCCCTTGGATGCCCTTTGCTCCCCTTCTTCTCTAGGTCACTGTCAAGGCTTGACTGATTTTGACAATCAGCATTTCCCAGACCGTGCGATAAACTTTTGCCATCTACGTCGTGGATCGGTGGTGCTGGTGCACTGTCCCTCCGGACTGTGTCTTCGAAATCGTCCCTCCTGTTGTATCCTAAGGATGCGTGCTCGCCCGTATGATACCCTGGAGCTTTCGGTAACACATTCGAATCCATGAGGCCTTTATGCCCTAGATAACGACGATGGCTGGCTGTGATAATGGGACTCGCCGTCTGACTATCGGATACTAGACTAGCAAGGACGAGTCCAAAGGTTCATACTTATATACACACGATCCATAGAAGACCTATACCCGGTCCTGGATATACGTCCCTATGTTTAGACTGACGAGGGCTGTCAAGTCGGTTCGTATGGAAGGTCTTGTCGGACTCCACTCACGCATCAAGTTTTGACAGACGGTCTCGGAAAGAGCTGAGACTTATGTGAAGGCGTGGTCGAGAGATCTCTGTAGCACGCGACTATCTAGCTCTCTCAACTGCCGATACTACGCAATATTCCCTTTTTTGCCTCTTGCTCCTCTGTACTAGGCCATACGGCGGGAACGATGTACACTTCTCCCTCCCTCCTCTTTCCTCTCTCGAGTTTACTCCACCACTATGTGCAACCATCTCGTGCTAGTATCACGGCCTGGGCGAGTACCTGGCATACAGGGGATCCTCTGTACAGGAGCTACCTTATCCGTCTTTCTGGATTTGTGTTTTTCTTAGAAATCTAAGCACCTGGTAATATCGCAAGTGTTTAAATGACATCCTCTGCGAATTTCTTGGCGAGAAGGCAGAGTGAACAAAACGTTGTCTCCCATGGTGCTACGTATGTGCGCACGTACCGCACCTCCTCCCATGCGGATGAAACTATATGAGGGGGGATTCGGGGGAAAAGAAAAGGGAGATTCAAGAGTAGGCACTTAAGGAATGAAGTTTGCTACCACGTTTTGCTTCCCCGTTTCCGTAAGATAAAGTTTCGGGAACGGAAGGCATGTAATCAGTGATGTCTTGAGTTAAGACCCGAACATCACGGTCACCTTCGGCCGGCGGGGAAATTGGTCCGAGACCTTTCGGCAAAGTATTCACAGACAAACTACCTAGCCCATGTGTCTGTGGCCGCATGGATCTAGTACGCGAGCTCGTGGAATTTGTCTTATTCTGATGCGTGGCCGCACGTTGTATATCGTTGCTACGGACGGTACTAGCGGTGATTCACCTTGCTTCAGCGAGGCCATGGTCTAGGACATGGTGTCTGTCTGATATTATCGTGATCTCGTTATTGCAAGACCGGATTCGTAATCTGATACGGGTCGATGTCTCTAGCTACCAACTACCAGCTACCAACCTGTTGGAAGTCTGTCCTTCCACTACCGAGTTAATTTACCGCAGCACGCGTCTGCCCATATGTCTCAGTCCGAGACCTTTAATTAGTCTATCGTGGTATTTTATATAAGAGAAGCCTATCGTACTAGAAATAAAGCTCGACACCGAAGATTGCTGGGTTCCTCGAATTAGCACGCATCTTATATCTTGAACAAAAACTATGAAATTCCTACTCGAGCTACCAGAGAGTGAGCCGCGAATATGCCATCATTTCACTACCCACCAATTCATAGATAAGCCTGGGATGGTATAACTGCGACTTCTTAAGGCCACGAATTTCCAATAAATTGATAATCTTGCGGCTAGAAGCTCTAATTAGAACCCTTACAACACCGAGTCACTCATAAGTCTCTATTGCCTTTTGTTTTCTCGGGCTAGGTATCGATGACTCTTGGCTCTATCTGGCGGTCTGTCTGTATCTTACCGGAAGACTTTGTTGTTGGTTATCGCCCCGCGTCACACACATCTCTTATTAGCTACCTAGGCAGCTGCTAGGTAGCCTTGCTCTCATGCATAGATGCAGCTATCCTATGCTATATGCCGTGACCCCTCGATGCGTAATAGGGCATCTGAGATTTTTCTTGCTAGAGCTTGGCATTTTGTGACTTCTATTATAAGCCAGATGCATCCAACTTCTAGATCATGTGGTTGCTAATACCAGCCGCTTTCTATAGCCGTCTCGGAATCGCCCTTAATAGGTAATAGGGAGCACAGCATAATAGTTAGGTTATATCTTACCTAGGGGGTAGTTACCAAAGTGCATTCACTGAATTTAAATGCGAAGAGATTATCAACCTGTAAGTTGATAGCACTGGCTATGGGAGACACGAATAGACAGCCGTACGTGATGATTTATGTTGTGAGTCTTTATGTTGTACATGGATCAATCGTCTAGATTGGTTGTGGTGGTACAAAGATACAGTAGAGCAAGATCTCCATGGGTGAAAATACATATGTGCATGTGCTTTTTACTAATATTACATAGTAAATAAATATATTTGCCAAAGCGTTGGATGAGGCAAGAAGGTGGATTACATAGAAATTACCTAGATTCGGGCTGTCATTCGGGCTGTCGGGGAGGGGCACGGCGTTTGTGCATTATCACCTAGACGCCTTACTATAGTTGGTATAGACTAGAATTGTTGGGGTCCACATAAGGTCACTAAATTAATTTTTGCCGCTAAAAATTGTGGCGGCTTATCAAATCTTCAGCGCTATCAGAATCGGGCCATCAGAATTATCCTCGTCATGATTCGCACGCAGTCTTGAAACTTAAACAGGAACCTACCAATTCGAAATGATCTTCGATAGACGGTAGTGATGCTTCATCCTGCAAAGGGTCGCATAAGAAGCGCATCGACTTCGAGCTTCGTGCGGCTTGCCAATCGGGTACATAGTCACCCTTGTCGACCGTGGCCATGGCTTTCCCCATTGCCGTCCCATTTGAGACGGCAGACCACCGCAACCGCAACCGCAACCGCCGCAGCCCAAGGTTCTAAAGCTCCCCAAGCTCCCCGCGATCCTCCCTCACAAACACAAGCACCCATACCAAATCTCGCCAGTTAGTTATAGATCTTTTCGTTTTAAAATCATGTATAATAGATCTCTAAACAAGACTATAGATCCTTCTGGTGCTCGATTCAACGAAATAGGCGTACAGCAAGTCAGTGCCCGTATCTATGAACAGATTTTCAAAAATGGTAGCGACCCACCACCACAAGAGCTTGTTGATCTGTCCATAGATCACTTACAACGCCATGATCTTTTTGGAAAGAACACCGACAATACTGCGCCCATTGCATTTGATGTACCTGAACTCCAGGGTAAAACTCTGGACGAGCACTTCTACAAACTTGGTATGGACTGTGCCAACCCGTACCTTGGCATGGCGAAGGCGTTTGCAGAAAGTATGGCACCCTCGCGACCGAGAGAATGGGTGAGGCAAAGCGGATGGACAAAATATTACAACGATGGTACTCCACCAGAGAAGGTCGAGTTTCCAGACGCTGATACGCTTTGCTTCGACGTCGAGGTCATGTGGAAGGAGAGCTCATTTGCCGTCATGGCGTGCGCGATGAGCCCGAAAAACTGGTATGCTTGGTTATCGCCTTGGCTACTTGGCGAGTCCGAGTCGGACCGGCATCTAATTCCATTAGGCGATCCGAATAAGGAACGCATCATCGTTGGCCATAATATTGGGTATGACCGAGCCAGAATCCTTGAAGAGTACGATTTGAAACAGTCAAGAAACTCATTTCTCGATACTATGTCATTACATGTTGCAGTCAACGGCATGTGTTCACAGCAAAGACCAACATGGATGAAACATCAAAAAAATAAGGAGCTACGAGATAAAATCACCAAAGAGACAGACAACGTCGAGCTAATAAACCTATTGGCCCACACCCATGAGGACGAAGAAGAACTCTGGGTCGAGAGGAGTTCGATCAATTCCCTTCGCGATGTTGCCAAGTTCCATCTAAATATCGCAATCGACAAAGCGGCTCGGGATCAATTCGGGGAGCTAGACCGAGAAGGTGTTCTCGGGAAGCTGAGCGAGCTCCTGGATTACTGTGCGGCAGATGTAGTCGTCACCCACAAAGTGTACAGGATCATATTCCCTAACTTCCTTAAGGTCTGCCCTCACCCCGTTAGTTTTGCCGCATTACGACATCTTTCCTCGGTCATCCTCCCCGTAAACAAGTCCTGGGACGCATATGTTCAAAATGCGGAAGCCACCTACCATAGGCTATCTGATAGTGTCCAGGAGCGTCTAGTTTCCCTTGCAGAGAAGGCAGTAGAAATTAAGGATGATGCAGACAAATGGGGTAATGACCCGTGGCTGAAGCAGCTGGACTGGTCTGGCCAAGAAATTAAGATGGTCAAGGGAAAGAAAAAGGGCGACCCCCCAAGACCTGCTGCTCGCCAAAAGAAACCCGGAATGCCTAAGTGGTATAAAGACTTGTTCAAGAAAATCGACTCGGAAATGAGTCTTACAGTTAGGACTCGCATTGCGCCACTTCTGCTTCGACTTGCGTGGGATGGGTATCCTCTGGTCTGGTCCGACAAATATGGCTGGACTTTTAAAGTGCCACTTTCAGACATGTCGAAATATAGTTCAACGCAGCTTGTTGAGTGCGACTTCTCAGACGAACCTATAGAAGCTCTAAAGCACGATAGGACTGGGATATATTTTAAGCTCCCCCATAAAGATGGCCCAAATACGCGATGCGTGAACCCGTTAGCCAAAGGGTATCTCGTATACTTCGAAAATGGTACTTTATCGTCGGAATATCCGTTAGCGAAAGAGGCGCTCGACATGAACGCGTCGTGTTCTTATTGGATCAGCGCTAGGAGCAGAATCACGTCTCAAATGGTGGTTTACGAAAAGAATAAAGTTGAGAATAGTGAAGAGGACCGTACTAAAAAGGATGACTATGACCTTGGGTATATCCTTCCTCAAATTATTCCTATGGGTACTATTACACGAAGAGCAGTCGAAAATACATGGTTAACAGCAAGCAATGCAAAGAAGAATAGGGTTGGTTCTGAGTTGAAAGCAATGGTTAAAGCACCACCAGGATATTGCTTTGTCGGTGCTGATGTCGATTCCGAAGAATTATGGATCGCCAGTGTCATAGGAGATGCTACCTTCAAACTCCATGGCGGTAACGCTATCGGCTTCATGACCCTAGAAGGTACCAAAGCTGCAGGAACCGACCTTCACTCCCGCACCGCTTCTATCTTAGGCATTACACGTAATAATGCCAAAGTTTTCAACTACGGCCGGATATACGGAGCTGGACTTAAATTCGCTGCTACCTTACTCAGACAGTTTAACCCTAGCCTTTCGGAGAAAGAAACGTTGGATATCGCTGGAAAACTGTATGCTACGACGAAGGGTACCAAGACAACAAGGAAAACGCTCTCCAAGCGGCCTTTTTGGAGGGGTGGGACGGAATCGTTCGTCTTCAATAAACTTGAAGAGTTTGCGGAACAAGATCGCCCACGAACCCCGGTTCTCGGAGCCGGCATTACCGAAGCGCTATTGACCAGATATATTAGCAAGGGGGGCTACCTCACGTCTCGTATCAACTGGGCAATCCAGTCGTCGGGTGTGGATTATCTGCATCTTTTAATTGTTTCTATGGATTACTTGATTCGACGTTTTAACATCGCAGCTCGTCTCGCCATTAGTGTGCACGACGAGATACGCTATCTCGTCAAGGACGAAGACAAATATCGAGCAGCCATGGCTCTTCAAGTCGCTAACCTCTGGACCCGAGCAATGTTCGCCCAGCAGGTTGGCATTAATGACCTTCCACAGGCATGCGCTTATTTCTCTGCGATCGATATCGACCACATACTTCGTAAAGAGGTCGATATGGACTGCGTGACGCCGAGCCATTTAACGCCTATTCCACCCGGGGAAAGCCTCGACATTATGCAACTACTGGAGAAAGGAGATGAAGCAAAACTCAATCCCGCTACTGTCCCGGCAGAGCCTGTTCCAAAACCGGAGAAAATTTCGTATCAGTATAGGGTACCTGTAATGGAGGAGCTGAATAAATCCCAAGATCCTACGGACCTCAGCTTCCTCAAGGCACAGATCACGAACGACGACCAGGAGCTTCGCCAGATTCTCAAAGATCAGAAGAAGAACAATGGGGATGGGTCGGCCAGTGTAGTAGACAAGCCTAGGCAGAAGAAGCTAGTGCCATACAGCTCGCAGCCGCAACTCATCCCGCACATGTACAAGCCGTTCGGGGCAAAGTTCACGTCGAAACAACAAAATTACGGCAGCGCCGGGGAGCAGTGGACTTTTGAGTGCATGCCTCCTCCGTCGCTGCCTATCCGGAGGGCCTAGAATCTGAGGTGGTGTGCCATATTATATATTCCCGTATGGACACAGTTTCTCTTCACATAGTAGTCACGGCATTATTAAAAAGGGGTTTACGACTCGGATCTACCATGGTCTCAAAAGGGTGGTGACAATGTATTAAAAGGGGCGTTATTGGAGGGATTTACTGTACCGTAACAAGAGCAGATATGTCGTCCACATTGTATTGTTGGTATTCGAATATTTAGTTACTTTTACTGCTGACTGCTATACACATTCCGCGAGTACCCCATTATATATATACATGCCCAACCAAGATTATGGGCTAGGTAAGCAATCGAATAGATGAAGGTTCCTAATTTGCAAAATTAGGCATAGCTACCCGTTTCATCCCGCTACATGCGGAGGTGGTAGGCGCAGGGGCCACTACCTAACGTACATACGGCGCACCTAATATAGGCAGAGCAAAGCAAAATTTGAACAGTCACACCTTTGCTCTTACTGACGCTCCGAGAGAGTGTGTGGGTGATACAAACGGGAGAGGGACTAGTGCTGTTTGTATCAGTGGTTACGAATGGGATTGGGTATTTATTTAGCCGTACCTGCTTTATTAGTATGAATTTTTAATTCTATAGTATTTGTTCTGAGTAAGAAGAAGAAACGAATGGAAGTCTTTCATTTGTAATGGTATAGGCTTACCAACCTTTATACATTACCTAATAGTTATATGTAGTATGTATAAGGTAACCACTATACAATACAAAGGTACGCACATACCCCTGAGTGCTACCCAACTGCCTCGGTATGTTACAGCGTATGTAGGTACTAATTAATACCTGTGTCACTAATCGTCCCAGCCATGCCGTATCGCTATTTTTAGCTATGTACAATATCCTACACTTTATTGTACATGCCTACACCACCTACACTATATCAAGACTATCACGAAATATTCGCATATATTTTGTTCAATGTTTAGTCTAATTTCGATGCCACGCTGCGCGGACTTGTTCGACCTAGTTACATAAAGATCGCCACATCTTTCAGCGATCAACACCTAATTACCTAATGTACTCTAAACCTAGGTAAGCACTTTTGCTACAATACAGACAGACCCTTCAAGCCGTCCTCATAGGCTATGCCAGCGTGCCAGCCCTAGTAGAGCATGTAAGCACTAATGACATCACGCAGTAGCAGCGTACCTAGTGTATGCCCTATGTTAGTAGGTAGGTAGCATCTTCAAGGGCTACATTCCTTTTGCCGGCCGGTTCAATGTCCAAAACCGCGTCCCCTTGCGATGGAGGATCCCGGAGACGTTGCATTTAGGTATAGCGAGATGATGAGCAAGCAAGAAAGCAACCCTCGTTTTGCCTAGGGCCTAGGCTGCTAGGTAAAGGATGGCTAGGGCTATGTAGTAAGCTTGCATCCCGATTCCCGATGTCTGGAGTTGTCGAAAATATTGGTACCTGACGCCTGCAAGTTCCTCGCCGGTGAGAACTTTACTGGAAATAATCCATCCATCCATCTTTTTCCGCAATATCTAATTATCAAATCTACCATAGCGCATCTTCATATCCAGGTTCCCGTCTTGGCATTGTAAAAGGTAGCAGGCCGGGTAGGGCTGACAACTTTCCCTTATTATGTCCGTATATGTATAACTTATAAGTCGCCTCGATATTACATATTATGCCTTTCCTCCTCTCGCCGCTGCTGTTCGAACGCGCGTCGCCCACGGGAACTTTCAACGGGACACCGCCCGACCGTCTACCGGCTGAAAATGGGGTGCACATATGGCGCGCTGCCGTCATCATGCCCTTCTTCACTTTCGGCTTTGTTGCGCTGAGGTTTTATACCCGGACTTATCTGCTGAGGGCTAGGAAGTATACTATCGATGATTGTGTGTTGTTTTTATTTTTATCTGCGAGAATAGTTTAGCTCCGAGGTGGGCAGGCAGTGTTACAGTGTAGTGCTAATATAATATAATTCAGATATCGTGGCGCTGAGCATGCTCGTCTGCATCGCGCACGCTGTGCTCATGGCTATCGCGACGTACAATGGCATGGGCCTGCACGTGTGGCAGTACGACGAGGAGCTTAACGCGCGGTACTATCTCTGGATCGGGATCACGTCCGAGTTCTACGTCCTCGGGTTGATGGGCTTTAAGAGCGCGCTCATCCTGCTGTATCTCCAGCTGTTCGGCGTGTATGCTAGGTTCAGGTGGGCGTGCTACGGCACCCTGTTCTTCTGCACGGGATATCTGTTATGCAACCTCACGACCGAGTTCCTCGGCTGCCATCCTATTAGAAAGAAGTGGGAGCCGGATTTGCCGGGACACTGCATTAATAGCGTTGCGACGAATACGTTTTACGGCGCTTGCAGTATGGTGAGTGACTTGGTCATCGCTATCTTGCCCCTTACGATGATATGGAAGTTGCAGGTGGCGTCCAAGCTGCAGAAGGTCGGGCTGAGTCTTGTCCTGAGTAGCGGGTTTGCGTGAGTATATACCGTCCATCGCGTTGTAGATTGTGCTGATGTATGGAATTATAGTGCTTGGACGGTGGCCGTCGCTCGCTGGGGCATCGTTACGTATGATTGTATGTCCTTGTATTTCAAATCGTTATACATATCATATCGCCAAAGACACTATTTATCAGTAAATAAACGTTGGCTAACTAACTCCCCTCTTTTCGTAGTGGTCGGAACCGAAGACAGGACGTGGTGGGCCGGCGTCAGCTTCACCTTAAGCATACTCGAGATCAACACGGGCCTCATCTGCGCTTGCGTCGCCACCCTAGGGCCTCTCTGGAAGCTAGCGTACGCGCAGGTTAAAGACTGGACTGGCTGGACCAGCCCCTGCAATAGCAAGAAGGAAGAAACTTGGCCGTCCTTCGTGCGGAAACCTCCCCACAGCCAGTCTTCCGAAGAAACTAGGAGGCCGAGCGGGGGGGCTACAATCGGCGGACACGGACTCCCTGCCGGTCGGGCGAGCCGTGTGATAACGTATAACGGGTCGACTTTGACCTCTAATTACGAAGACGAGTATGGTCTTTTGGACGCTTCGGGCTGGCATCCCCATAGTTTGAGAGAGGAGAGGTCTTATAGGAGTAGGGAAGACGTATGAGATGCGTGTGTATTGATGTACATATTCGTGTTATCACGTCTTTGTTTTATTACGGCTGGCGCATATTATACCCCGAGTAGCGAATGAGAGGAAAAAAAAAAAAAAAAAAACCTGGTTTAGTATCGACTTCAGCCGTTGGCTTTATTTTTTTGTTTGATTTTTATATCACTGCTTGGATATGACATGAACTAACTTTATATACCTACCCCCTAAGTTTTCAGCACGTAGATTCTCCTATCTCGTCGTGATAGATTGGTCCCATCTGTAGAAAAGCTCGATGCTGTTGGCATTACCATTTGCCGTCCTCGCCGCTGGAGCTGTAGCGGCCCCCTCTCCGCAGACCCTAGAGGCGGAATAATGTGAGTATATAGGTTTGGCATGGAACAAATAGGCAACTCTATCGTACGCGTCACCAAACAGAATTGACTCTATCAAACCACCGTGCGGGAATCTTATTCCAAGCCACCCGACCTTCTCCCATCTAGGTAGAATCTAAAACGAAGACTTATAAGTCTAATGAACAATAGGGGTCTTTAACAAATGCCAAAAGGTCGGGTTGGTGCAGTCTAGCATATACTATCCTTATGAAGTATTGCTAGGCCCTGGGGTTCGATTCCTTCGACGACCACACATTTCTTTTTCTTTCCTTTTTCGAATTTCTACGTCTTGTAAACTAGCTAGTTATTACTTCAAAATTACCTACTTGTATTAATTCTATTCATGTGTAAGGCGTTAGTTAGTTAATACAAGGTCCTTTACCGCGTATCCCCCCTTGAGACAGATTATTACTTGCGAGGTGATACTTCGCCGTGTTGTGCAAAGCAATTTGTGCCGCCAAAATAGGGCGTCTATATAATGAAGAGCCTTTAATAGGCGGATTGCACGGGAACTTCGTCGCACCTCGTCGCGATCCATAATACTGAATTATTAGGGATTATCCCGTATTCTTTTATATGTTAGATTTAATATATGCCATTCTATACCCTTAACGAGTGCGCACTGAAGGATAAGAGCGGTTGATAACCCCCCTCCCCCCCTTTTTTTTTCCCCGAGAAAAGGGGGGCTCCATGCTATATTATACTAATGAATACCCAGAACAACGCCCCTATATCGTAGAAAATCCAACAAAAGGTTCTAGTTGAAGTTCTAAATATACTTTGCTGTATTCTCCAGCACGTTAATCACCTGCGTTCGGAATGCCTGCTGTAGCTTCAAGTCTTCTTTCGAGTCATCTACAACACGAAAATCGGTATATATCGCCTACAACCGGTATCCGCTACGATTCTTCGGAAGTCCGCTAGTGTTCGCAAAATCAGTCAGCAGTGTTGAGACTGTTCGTCAGTTGATCTATGCCCTTTGTATGGCCGAGAAAGGATTGGCGATGACACCCTTTTGCGACCCCCGAAACCCGACCAACTTCGCTTTTCCGGTTCACTTCGCAGATATCCATATGGTGGATCCAAAAGGCCGCACAGCAGCTACAATAGCTAAAGAATTATATCCATCTTAAGGATCACCGATATTAACTTCGAGAAGTTAAGCGCGTATATCAACTCCGAAACAGATGGTTTAGGTGTGTTACAAGATTGGGATTCCTTCTATAAGATGATTGGATGCAGTAGATTGGACATCCTACCTCCTCTACTAGAGGCTCTAAGTTTGGTACGACAAGACATTCTCAACCAGGAACGAGAATAAGTAGCCCTGCCGGCTTAGAAAATACTACACCAACAGAGAATTTAAGAGACACTCGCATATACCGTCATAATTCGCCAACTTGACGTGTTTTCATTTTGCATATATTAGCATAACCACATTTTTGTGCTCAGTATCAAACTGTCATGTATAATTACCTACCTTCTATCCTTGCTTCACATTTTAATCTTAATGATCAGTATCGATACAAGATAAAAATTCTGACGATATTAATATTCTATCCTCGACTCGTGATTCATCGCCATGCTATGCGGACCTATATCCATGTGTAAACTCGTGTAAACCCCCTAGTCCCTCCTCCTCCGCAAGTTATATACCGGGCGACCCGACGAGCGCCCTCAACCCCGGTATCCACCGCGGGAGTATGTATACGGGGTAAATACCCATAGCAGCAACCAACAGTCCAGTCAACTATCGTAAAGGAGTCAGTCAGCAAGCATATCCGTAGAACCAACCAGCGTCCGCAAGAAGAAACAGGGGGTAAAAAACAAACCTTCTCAGGCCACGTGTGAAAGTACATAGCAGTCATAAGCAACATCCACAAACAAGCCACCACAACCCCCAGCACAAACCTCCCCCCAAACCCCAACACCCCCTCGCCCTCAACCGGCTCGACGTTCTCCGCCTCGACGCTCGCGCCCTTCACCGCCCCGTCAGCCATAACAACGCACCTCTCCTCGCGGCCCCCCGCGAACCCCGCGCGATACACAACCCACCCCATCTCCTGCAGCAGGAAGAAGCTCCCCAGCACCAGCAGAAACACATGGCCGCTAATATCGTGACCCCCGCTCCACCTGCCCCCCGCCGTCTTACACGCCGCCGCCGTGAACGCATCCGCCTTATCAGCCGAGCCCTCGGCCACCGCCTCCCTTGCGACCTCGCACCTGCCCCCCGTGAAGCGGAACCCCCTATCGATGATCGCCGGCCCGAAGCACCACTGCGTAACGAGCACCCACCACGCCGTAACGAGCGCCCACCTGCCCGCAGCGCGTATCCTGCTGCGCGGCGCTCGGAGCGCCGGGTGCGTCAGCACGAAAGCCGCGAACGCGGCGCTGATCCACGCCCACCCGCGCTTGACGAACAGCGTGTTGAACACGTTGTCCTTGCGCGCGAAGTAACTCGGCGCCTCGCTGTGCACGTGCGAGTGGCCCGTCGGGTCGTACGGCGAGGCCCTGGTTTGCGGGCTGATGATGGAGAAGACGGTGCCGAACGTGAGGATTGTCGGGTACACGAGGAGCACCAGGGTTTCGAGAGGCGTCGGTAGGAACGGTGAGGTACGTTTCGAAGGAGGGGGGTACGTCGGTCTATCCGCGGCATCGTCCGGTAACGATGAAAACCCGGTTGCTTTACTACCGGCGGCCATGTTGTTGGCTTGTTGTCGTGATCTTAGCGAAGAGGTGATGTTGTTATCGCTCATGATAGTTGGGAGGGTAACATTGGCCTTTTAGCAAAGCTTTGTTGGTACGTGTCAATTATTGAGGAAACGAGGAAACGAATGAAAGCGGATGAGGACGTTGGATATTGAGTACAATGAGAGTATGTATACGTATGTATACACGATGAACCGCTCAAATCGAAGAGCTTTTTATGCGATACGTTAGGTAGGTAATTCGGGAAAATTCTATATTTCCTTGATGAAGCGTAAAAGAGTGAAAGAAAGCTACCGATGACGTTGATTATGCGTTGATTAAGAAGTACTCAAGTACCCAGACACGTTCCCAAATTCTTACTAATTAGTGCTCTAGGCTCCACAATGAAAGCGGACATTTGTTTAAGGGGCTTTGTTTAAGGGGCTCTACATCACTTGCGATCACTTGCGAGACTCATAAAAGTACGTGAACAATAATAGCAATTATTTGGTATTCATGAATACAGAGAAATTAGCAACCTAGGGTCCTATTGACCGTCACTTTCCCTTCCCGAGATACCGATAATCTCGCGGGCACTAAGTTCCAAGTGGTATCTCGAAATGGATCCTATCAATCATCTGAACTCCGGCCATCCTCATGGACTAGCTACCTTGGTATCCTTTCCTGCCTACTCCGAATCAGGTGAAAATGTAACTATTTAAATGCCACTGGGGCCACAAGAGAAGCGAATATATAGGACTAGGGACGTTGAATGTAGGTCTTCGTCAAAGAAATCACCCGAATAGACATCCCTGTTCATCTCAAGAATTTTTCACATGCGCCGTTTTGGACGCGCAGCCACTTGACGTTACGGTTGTCGTTCTGGTGGCGGTGCTCCTTGAATAGCTCCGAGTAGTATCACTCCTAGCCGCCGTACTTCACGGCGCCTGGGAGCACACTCCCGCCGCTGTCACTGTTTTAGTGACAATAATCGTGACAGCAGAGTCATCGCCGCCAGTACCACCGCTTGGGGTCTCCGACGGGATTGGTAGAGCAGTCGTGGATTCTGCCGCTGTTGTCTCGGTACTCGCGTCCACACCAGGCTGAACGTAGCTACCTGCAGGTGTGGACACTGGAGTAGCCGTAACCTGAGTCTCGGTGGCGACAGCAGATGAACCGCTACCTGAAGGACCGGAACCGTTGCTCGAGCCGGAGCCAGAGCCTGACGTTGGGAGAGCTGTGTCAGTACCGGATGGGACTGTTCCTGAGGCTGACGTCGACGTTTCGGCGGGAGCCGTGGTTGAGTCTCCGGAATCGCTCGGTTCCGGCTGATTTCCTGATACAGCATTGACTTCGAACTTAGCGACAGCGGCACAGAAGTTGTTTCTGTTGTCCTTGTCAAGAGCAGCCGATTTACCGTCGACGGTAATCATGTTTACCGAGGCCTTGGTGCTGATACCAAGGAGGTGGACTCCAGTAGAGTCCTCGATGCTGATCATGTTATCCTGGCAGTTTTGTTCGTCTACACATTTTTGGCCATAATTGTCGAAGAAGCTATACAGACCAGCGCCATAGATATATACCGACGACGAGTTCGTGACACGAAGACCCCAAGTGCGAGCACATCTTTTCGAAGAACCGTCGCAGGACTGGGAAAAATCCGGATCGAAGTAGCCTTCGAGAACCGTGGCGCCGTCGGGGGCCTCGGGGTTACCCTGAAAGTAGGCCGTTTCGGATTGCGCCACTCCAATAAAAACGTTCTGAGCGTTGGAGACTTGGTAGTTGTATAGGATGCTGTGCTCCGAAGCGGTACCCCAAAGCCATACAGGCTTTTGCGACTCGATGAGCACGCCACGACCATTGAAAATGTTGATCTGATTATGGTCCTCGAGATCAAGCTCGTGGTCAGCGACCCAGAACCAGCAGTTTTCGATGTAAGCCGAGGCTGTCTGTGTGACGTGAAGCATCATAAAAGCGCCCATGCATTCAGGGTTGGCAGTCGTCGTGACATTCTCGTTCTTGGTACACTTATCGGACTGCAACTCAGTCCCGGCAGTCCCACCAACACGGAAATGCACATCCCACATGCCGGCAGCACCGTTCTCGGAACCAGCCAGGTTCCACTGCATGAGAATAGCACCAGGAAGAGATCCC